TTTGCTATGACAGACTTTCTCCCGAAGCTGTGGAAGGCTATTATCCACAGTGAAGCTCCATTGATGTTCGGGAGTCGGCGGGTGGCAGAGGGGAGGGGGAAAGCAGAAGGGGAGAGGGGAGAGAGAGAGGGAGGGAAGGGGGAGAGGAGAAAGGGAGGGAGAACATGGCGCTGCCATGCGCCGGAGAGAAGGGGTATAAGGAGGTATAACACATTCAATAGTGAGGTGGTTAATGGAGTACGTCATGCTGCTATTCCGTGGTTCCTCCCTACCCTGTGATGCGCGCGATAGCGGGCGGAGCAAACCTGGTTATTATATATTCTCACAGGATCAGAGTAGAAGAAAATGTTGATTATCTCCTCGAAAAAACTGTGGTGCACATGGTGAAGCACGCGGAATGTTAAGTGTTAACAAATGTCGGGATGATTTCGCAAGGCCGAAGCGTTAAGGCCTAAGAATGCAGCATCGACCCTGCTCAAGGCCTTAGACCCACCCAAAATCAGCCCTACGCCGCTTCTCGAATGAAGGCTTTGTTTTCGTCCTTGTCGGCGATTCCTTCCAGTTTTCTTCGTTACTTGCGCATGTCTTCACTGCCACTAACAAGCGTAATGACACATCAATTAGTCCCGGAGTCCACCCTAAAAAAGTATACTAGCGAGTTAAAATAAATTAAGGCCAGGTTCATCAATGGTACGATTTTCCTTCGTGTAGCTGAATGATGCACGTTGTGCACAATTTGGGATAAATTTAGTCTGAAAAAAAGCAATCCGTCCCGCAAATGATGGCGCGAGGCGTATTTTGCTGATAAGGCTACGGCGTAGCAGATCGTTTGGGGTCAAGTGAAACACTTCTCTTTCCAACACCATGGACGGTGCCAGCGTGCTCGCGAAATGTCTCAAAGAGCAGGTTTGTTCTTTACCGTTTCAACATTACTTTGTTATCGCTACAATTGTTCGGCTAAAACCCATAACTCAACATTAATAGTTATCAATAAACGAAGTCAAATAGATTTCTTTCCTACAGCAAATGAAATCTTTCCAAGACCACTTCAATAATTAGGAATTAGCAGTGACCCTTAGGTCCAATCGGTTTCACCACCTGGTTGCTAACCAATCGGTCTTTGATCCACCGTAACGTTTTTAGTTGTGACTAGGGTTCACCCGTCACTGATTACGACGAGAACGATCAATACCACCCCGATCAGCTGATATCAGAGAACGTATCGGATCGTGAGAAATGTGCGGGTAATTCGGGGCTAACGAACTTACTTCAAGGCAAAAGCACTTTTTCTAGTTGGGAATCAGTCACCTGTTCCTGAATAACCGGCTATTTTAAATGCTGTGCAAAATACTGAAAAAAAAAAGTATGTTATCAATTAAAAAACCATATAATAGAGGAAAACGGCGCACGTAAGAGGTCGTCTGGTTATTATTACAACTGAATACCATTACTTTTTGTAATGTTCAGCGGCGATCAATCTTTTTTTTTATTTTTGTATTTGCCATTTAGGGTGTGGAATACATGTTCGGTGTGGTTGGCTTTCCAATTATCGAAGTTGGAATGGCCGCTCAAGCATTCGGTATCAAATATGTCGGATGCAGAAATGAGCAAGCAGTGGGTTTCTTCAACTTGCTAAACTCCTTTCCTACGTGACGCCGAAGTAATTCGAGTATAGCACTTGCGATGCCTATCGAAAATTCGAATGAGAAGAAAATATGACGGATCGCCATTTTATTTCGTCGGTACATGCGAATGAGGGCCATGAAGTCTCTCTGCAGACGGTCCTGTTGACAAGGAAGTGCGGAAGATTATGCCACAAGCCAGCAACGCGCAGGTTAGTATATGCAGCCGGGTGGGTACTCTCTTTTTATATGTTCAAGCTAACAACAGAAAATGACGTCGAGATATGCTAAGGAGAGCAGTCGTTTAATAGGACCCAATTCACTCGAACTGCACTTTTGATAAGGATCGACTTAGTCGGGCTCGATAATGCTCAAAAACGATGTTTCTAAGGGAGGATATTTTCTACCCAACCTAAGGGGGGGGGGAAGAAGGGAAGATCTCCAGGGTGGGTGGACCACGACTATGTGGAGAACATTGGTTTGGCCCAAATAGGATGTGTAGCGCATCAGAGATGTCCTTAATGTAAGGGACTCAAAGAACGATGGATCTTTCCCCAATCCTATTTCTAGGAAATTGACAGGAATTTTCTAGGCCGTTTGGTTTTGCAAATTTTAATCTTACGTGGATAGCATAAAAGCCTGACAATCACTTTTTGTTGCTCCATTTTTCTGTCGCATGAACTGTATGGCTAGGTCGCAATTACTGCAGACTCCACCGCGGAACAAGAGTGTGTGATACGATATTTGCCATCTCCTGCCCTTCATTTTAATTTTTAAATGTTCCGGCCCCTAAAACGATTGAAATGCATTCTCTTTCATTTGCATATTTTCTCATCAAGAAGAGAATTTTTTGCTCGAACATTGCTGGAAGGCTGTGATTCCTTTTAGGCTTGTTATGCCGCTCAAGCTATGGGTTATCTAACGAGAAAGCCTGCAGTTTGCTTGGTGGTGTCCGGTCCAGGCCTTTTGCACGCCATTGGAGGTCTCGCCAATGCCACAGTAAATTGTTTGGTGAGTCGGATTCAAAGTAATATCCATGTTAGAACTCATGATCAGTGTTCTAGATTCGATGCTAATTTAGTGGGCAGGGTCAAACCCTATACTGTCTCATAGTAATAAACGGGGATACTACTTGGTTGAGTTTGTAGGAGGAGGGGTCGTACCCTACGTGACGTTCGAGGTTGAAACTGTTTTGAGGGGCACACAGCGAAATAAAGTCCGTTTCAGCGCCGCGTATAACCCTCCCCCCGGCTCGACGGCATTTTTGGAGGAAAAAGTGGGCGGGTTTGGAGGTGGTGGGGTTGGGTGGTATAGAATTAAATACTATAGAGACGATGATGGCGGTTGAGGTGTGGAAAAGGGGGTCGTATCAAATCCACCTTGGGGGGGGGGGAGGGTCGTAAAAATTTTTCAAAAGTAACAACGATAGGGTTGACCCTGAGGGAGGGGGCACGCGGAGCTTTGCCCGTCTTCCTCTCAGGGTTATTCCGGTGATACTGAATCTCGAACTCCACGTAAGGCGAAAAAATTTATAACGCTCCTTATGACGACAAAGAGTCTTTCATGGACAAGCACGCTTTTTGGAAAGGGTTTTGCATAGTTAGGGGGGGGAGCATGTAGAGAAAACAAAAACAACAACAGTATGTTTTGTTTTTGCTGACCGGTTAGTCAGTAAACCAAAAAGAAGCACAATCGTACTGTTAGGATTCTTTACCCTTTTTGCGACTGAAATATTGCACTTGTATTTGCGCTCTGCGGGTTGAATCCAATCGGCTAAATGTCTAAATAATTGGCATATGATCGTCGATACAATGTCAGAAGAAACAAGTGCCGCCATCTCGCATTGGAAAATTTATTCGCCGCGGCGGGACTGCGAACCGTTCAGGCTATCGTTAAATCCACTGTTTGAGCTACTATTAGAAATACCGTGCAGCAAAAACGAGCACAGTTTTACGCTCATACGTGACATCCTACAAATATGCAAGAAACGTTACCAAAAAGCGCTGCTGCCTCGAAGACCCCTTCGTTAAGCCTATTAGGCAGACAGTTCATAGTTCAGCGACTCGTCGAGAATAGGATTAGTATGGCGATGGGAGTATTAGCGTAAGTAGTTTAGGGTAGGAGATGCGCTGCAAATTGGATACGTATCGTAATTCGATAATCGCAAGCGAGAGTAGTAGATGGGCACTTACAACCGAATAGGTTCAATACTATCTAAATCTGTGTCCAGCGCTACTATCTAATCTACTACTAATGTAATATCTCCTACTCTAGATACTATCCTACATAATCCCAGTAATAAATCGTAATCTACTACTCTCCGGCGATTTTCAATCGATACGTATCTAATCTTGTCAGCGCAATCTCCTACTCTACTACTATCCTAATCTACTACTATCCTAATCTCCCCGTCAATACATATGTTTTTCATTGTCGCGTACTATCCTAATCTCCGGAGTCGCGAACTATGAACGCAGCCTTAGAGTTGCCCAATGAATAGTGTCGCGCTGCCGCGCAGTACACCCCCTTGCCCCAACTAAAATAGCACCCTATAGTTTCTCAGGACTTGCGATAAGGAGAAATATAGGTTGGTTGTATTTATCTTGTTTTCGGTCTCGTGTTGTGTTTTGGTTTTTGTTTTGTGGTTTTTGTTGTGAAGGACACAACGATATGATCGTCTTTAGGCCAACAACGATTTAAATGATGCTTCAGTTAGTACCTATTGAGACTCGGTATGACCAAGTCTGCTTTTCACACCAGAAGCACCATTCTCATTTCAGGCCCATGATTTGCATCGGAGGCTCTTCAGATGTAGACCAGGAAAATCGAGGAGCATTCCAGGAATGGCCACAGGTCGAATCGGCTCGGCTCGCCTGTAAACACGTCAGCCGACCAACGTCGCTACAGGCCATACCACTTCATGTCGAAAAGGTACGAATAGAAGCACTTATTTTCCAAATCGCTGTTATCACTTCGAAGAGTGACTAGTGATCTGGCCATGAGCCGGTTACCAGTTCCAGCGTAGTATGGCAATCTACTATAAATTACGCATTTAGCAGTAGGAAGTAGGTATGGTCGCCAGTGCCGTCTTATGATATACAGGCTAATCTTCGTATCTCACGATCGAGGAAATCAAATTCGTCGGTTATACTCTTGCTTTTTCTTGGGTACTTAGCGTCTCTTACTCCTAATGATGTGTGTTCTTATAGCAGACCAATATCTGTGTATAACATGCCGTAAGCGTGGGGCTGTTTAATAAGCACAGCATAAAGCATTTGCCGTTGATCAATCCCGTCTTGGGATGCGGCACGCATTCTACTTCCATTTGTACATTCGTAGTGGCATTTGAATGCGATGTGGCCTATACAATGACTTGCGGGGGCCAGCCGAAGTCAGTGTTTTATCCTCCCAGACAAGTCTGGTACCAATTAACCGACCCCGGAGGGATGGAAGGCTTGGTTGGCCCGGGCGACTCACGACCCAGGATTTGATCCCCGGACCGCTCGCGTGGTAAGCGTGCCACTTGCCACTACACCACTTCACCACTCGTGGTGATTGTATAGAATAGTAAATCTAAAACCATAGTGGTTCTGTTGCATACTCACTTTTTACAACACTTGGGGCCGTCCGAATGTATAAGCGTTTGTTCAGTGTTTTTACACAACGATTCTAGCACCGAACTCACTAGAAACGATTGATGGCTTGTTTGTCGAAGGAAGAGTTTGTTCTGAGATTCGATTCCGGAACCATTTCTACCTTCGTGTGCTCCAGCGGAAGCCTCACTTACCGTTGACTTTTCTCTAATTCTTTGATATAATAATGGTAAAACATGAAGGCAGTTCAGACGGTTGAACATTACAGTGCCACACATCGTGTCCTTTTATTTACCTTCATTAGTATTTCTTTTTTTAATGCATTTTGAATGCGGGCGGAAGTGGTGTAGTGGCAAGTGGCACGCTTACCACGCGAGCGGTCCGGGGATCAAATCCTGGGTCGTGAGTCGCCCGGGCCAACCAAGCCTTCCATCCCTCCGGGGTCGGTTAATTGGTACCAGACTTGTCTGGGAGGATAAAAACACTGACTTGTACATCGGCTGGCCCCCGCAAGTCATTGTATAGGCCACATCGCATTCAAACGCCACTACGAATGTACAAATGGAAGTAGAATGCGTGCCGCATCCCAAAAAGGGATTGATCAACGGCAAATGCTTTTTTTATTTATGCATTTCAGACGGGTTTTCTTCTGTAGCACAGCACCCACAGTTTTTGAGGCTGCATGTTCTCAGCATTGTAGGTGAAAAGGGGATCAGAAAAAAGCGAGATCAGGAAAGTAGGAACCGTAGCCAAAAAGGATCATTGATTAGGAGAAGATGATAGTAGGAGACTACGAAGCGAGGGCTCCGATGATTCAGGAAATCTCCTGTTTCGTCGTCAAATCAAACCAATTCTATCTATTCTTCCCAATTAGATCTACCCTCCCCTTCAAAAAGCGAGAAAGTGTCGGGTGCAGACCATGCACCACACGTGACGACGGCCTTCACAA